CAAGGGAGCCAAGAACAGTCAACGGGGAAAGGACAGTGTCTTCAATAAATGGTGCTGGTACAAATAGCCACTTGCAGAAGAATGAAATTGGATTCCTATCTTACACTTCTCACAAAAATGAACTTCAGATGGATTAAACTTAAGTGTAAGACCTCAAACCATAAAACTCTTAGAAGAAAATACAGGGAAAAACTCCTTCACATTGGACTTGGCAAATATTTTTTTGCATATGATAAGAAACAGAAGCAAAAATGAACAAGTGGGACTACATCAACCTTAAAGGCTTCTGCACAGCACAGGAAACAACAAAGTGAAAAGGCAGCCTATTGAAAGGGAGAAAATATTTGCAAACGATATACCAGATAAGGGGTTCATATCCAAAATATATAAGGCACTCTTACCATTCAATAGTAAAAACACAAATAATCTGATTAAAAAGTGGGCAAAGGACCCAAATAGACATTTTTGCAAAGAACATACAGATGCCCACCAGGTACAGGAAAAGACACTCAACATCACCAATTATCAGGGAAAGTACAAATCAAAACCACAATGAGATCCACTTCAAACCTGTTAGAACAGCAATTATCAAAAAGACGGGAGATAATTATGGCAAGGATGTCAAGAAAAGTGAACCCTCGTACACTTTTGGTGGGAATGTAAATTTGTACAGCCACTGTGGAAAATAGGGACATTCCTCAAAAAATTAAAAACACAACTACCATACAATCCATCAAATCTACTTCTGTGTATACATATGAGGGAAATGAGTCACTATCTCAAAGAGATACCTGTACTCCCATGTTCATTGAAGCACTATTCAAAATAGCCAACACATGGAAACAACTCTAAGTGACTATAATGGATGAATGAATAAAGCAAATGGGTGATGTGTGTGTGTGTGTGTGTGTATAATAGAATATTATTCATCCAAAAAAAGAAGGAAATCCTTCCATTTGCAACAACACTGATGGACCCTGAAGACATTATGCTGAGTAAAATAAGTCAGACAGTAAGATATATACTGTATGATCTCACTTACATATAAGTAGAATCTAAAAATGCCAGACTTCTAGAAATAGAGAGTAGAATGGTGGTTACTAAGGCCTAGGGGCTAGGGAAAATTAGATGTTATTAAAGGGTACAAACTTTATAATATGACTAAGTTCTGGGGATTAATGTACAGCACGGTGACTATAGTTAACAATACTGTATTACATACTTGGAAGTTGCTAAGAGAGTAGCATTTATTTATTTATTTATTTATTTATTTATTTATTTATTTACTTTTATTTATTTTTTAAATTTACATCCAAGTTAGTTAGCATATAGTGCAATAAATAATGATTTAAGGAGTAGATGAGTAGCTCATCCCCCCTCCCACAACCCCTCCATTAACCCTCTGTTTGTTCTCCATATTTAAGAGACTCTTATGTTTTTGTCCCCCTCCCTGTTTTTATATTATTTTTGCTTCCCTTCCCTTATGTTGATCTGTTTTGTATCTTAAAGTTCTCATATGAGTGAAGACATATGATTTTTGTCTTTCTCTAATTTCACTTAGCATATTACCTTCTAGTTCTAGTTCCACCCACGTAGCTGCAAATGGCAAGATTTCATTCTTTTTGATTGCCAAATAATACTCCATTGTATATATATACCACATCTTCTTTATCCATTCATCCATCAATGGAAATTTTGGCTCTTTCCATACTTTGGCTATTGTTGATAGTGCTGCTATAAACATGGGGGTGCATGTGTCCCTTCAAAACAGCATACCTGTACCCCTTGGATATATACCTAGTAGTGCAATTGCTGGGTCATAGGATAGTTCTATTTTTAGTTTTTTGAGGAACCTCCATACTGTTTTCCAGAGTGGCTGCACCAGTTTGCATTCCCACCAACAATGCAAAAGAGATCCTCTTTCTCCACATCCTCGCCAACATCTGTTGTTGCTGAGTTGTTAATGTTAGCCATTCTGACAGGTGTGAGGTGGTATCTCATTGTGGTTTTGATTTGTATTTCCCTGATGGTGAGTGATGTTGAGCATTTTTTCATGTGTCGGTTGGCCATCTGGATGTCTTCCTTGGAGAAGTGTCTATTCATGTCTTTTGCCCATTTCTTCACTGGATTATTTGTTTTTTGGGTGTTGAGTTTGATAAGCTCTTTATAGATTTTGGATACTAACCCTTTATCTGATATGTCATTTGCAAGTATCTTCTCCCATTCTGTCGGTTGCCTTTTAGTTTTGCGGATTGTTTCCTTTGCTGCGCAGAAGCCTTTTATTTTGATGAGGTCCCCGTAGTTCATTTTTGCTTTTGTTTCCCTTGCCTCTGGAGACGTGTTGAGTAAGAAATTTCTGCAGGCAAGATCAAAGAGGTTTTTGCGTGCTTTCTCCTCGAGGATTCTGATGGCTTCCTGTCTTACATTGAGGTCTTTCATCCATTTTGAGTTTATTTTTGTGTATGGTGTAAGAAAGTGGCCCGGGTTCATTCTTCTGCATGTTGCTGTCCAGTCTTCCCAGTACCACTTGCTGAAGAGACTGTCTTGATTCCATTGGATATTCTTTCCTGCTTTGTCAAAGATTAGTTGGCCATTATGTTTGTGGGTCCATTTCTGGGTTATCTATTCTGTTCCATCGATCTGAGTGGCTGTTCTTGTGCCATTTGTTTGTTTTTTGTTTCCTAGGACCTTGTATGGTATCTAGCACAAAGTGCTACAGGTGACCATAGTATGAACTGATATATATTTGAGAATCTCTTAGATCTAGACACTTGACTGAACCATGTAAAATAATGAGAATAAATACTGTTATTACCATCTCTGTTATATATCCTCTGGCCTCTTTTATATCACAAGAGAAGAAAGGGACATATGTCAGGGTAGTGTGCTCGGCTCCAGCTCTACTTCTGGAGTATAGGCTAGAGAACAGCACCAAAGACTGTTGGAACTTTCTGTCCAGTTTTACAACTCTACAGATATAAGCTGACAAAAAACTCCCAAGTAATGGCAGGGAGTGGAGTGAGATTTCTTGTTAGTTTATATCTGAGAAGGTGAGAGAGCAAGCATGGAAATAATTAGACATGTTCTGTTTGCTTCTGATCCAAAATATAGTTTGTGGTTCTACACAAAGTCATCATCAATCAACTAACAATGCATTATTTATAAGAAAACAACCTTCAGCAGAAGTGGTTCAAGTCAGAGAAACAGTGGCAGAGTTTTGTTCTGAAAGGCTGTAATTGTCAATCAGTCTTTTTAAGTTACCTGAGTTATTTGGTTTGGGAGATTACCACTGTTATTTCTTCCCTAATACCTTCCTCCTTTATAGAGGATCTGGTAACTATAATAATATATAATAATATATGTGAAAATGTATGTCCTTTCTCCTGGAAAGCCCATTAGAATTACACTGAAGCGCTTGGGGGCAAGGCTGTGGCTATGTTGCCTGGACGAGAATGCAGGGTTGCTGCATCACACAGTAGCCCAAGGGAGAATGTAGGGACAGAATAGCATTTATCAACCGAGGAGCTAGGTTCTACAGTGACCAAAGGAGATGGGGAAATTGAATGGGATAAAGCAAATGAGAGAAAGTCCAGGGAGGTTAAAAGTCAAGTGCTGTAGGGGCGCCTGGGTATCTCAGTCAGTTAAGCATCCAACTTCAGCTCAGGTCATGATCTCAAGGTTCATGAGTTCGTGCCCCATGTTGGGCTCTATGCTGACAGCTCAGAGCCTGGAGTCTGCTTTGGATTCTGTGTCTCCCTCTCTCTCTGCCCCATCCACGATCCTGCTCTGTCTCTCTCTCACTCTCTCAAAAATAAATAAACATTAAAAAAAGTTTAAAAAACCTGTTGGGATGAGCACTGGGTGTTGTATAGAAACCACTTTGACAATAAATTATATTTAATATAAAAAATTAAAAGAAAAGTTAAGTGCTATAAGATAAATCGTTGTAGACCCAAAGGACCTAGTACTTTCTAGCAATAAATATGCTTGGGGAGAGAGGGCAGGCAGATGGAAGGGATATGTGAACAAAATAATCAAGGGTAAGAAAGATACTGAATGAAACAACTGTTCCCAAGAAAGCACTACAAGAAACCAGCAGAAATATAAGAACTGTTTTGAGACAAATGAAGAAGAAGGCATTCTCTTTTCTATTAACCTACCATAAGCTTCAGAGCAACAAATTTCATGGATTTTTCAAACTGGAGATTAGTGCTGATCACAGAAAAGCTGCAGATAGGTGGGGCAGGTAAGTGATTAACACCAAATGGAACCCTATTGGGAAATTAAATGTCCTACTTGATTCAAGATGCATGAGGAAAAAAGAGTTCAGATGTCAAAACAGGAGTAAATTTCCCTGGAGAAAAGGTGACCTTAGCAGGGTTGACCTTGAACAGGTGTCAGAAATCGCTACATTTGTGTAGTGCAAAGCACACAGGTTTTGGTAGTCCAGCAAGACCTGAGTTCCAATCTCAAATCTCCTACTTACTTGTAAATCTATCTATTAAATAAACTTAGGCAAAGCACTTAACCTCCCTGAGCATTTTCACCACCTACAAAGTCTAAATTAGAAATCCTACACTTCAAGGGCTGCAAAGCCTCTACTACATTATTATACCTTACACATAATGAGTGCTCCATAAATGGTAGCTATTACTGTTTTAAGTCCATATCAAATTTAAAACAAGAGATGACCTGAAATAGGAGAATTCTCAGAAATTCTTGATTTGGGAATAGTTGACAGCAAGAAAGTTATAAAAGCTTGGACACTGCATATTCTAATATCAAATATCTAAATATCAATAATGACAGATGAGCTCTAACTGTATTGCTTTTCATTAACAGGATTTTTCTTCTCTGTGGTACAAAATGTAGTGTATTTATTGCCAAGAATTTATGGACGGTATCATGAGAACATGCCATCATATGGACCCTGAGATTTAAATTATTTTAATATAACTTTTTTTTAAAGAAGAAAGTTTGAAGAAGTCTAGCAATTTTACCTGATGAGGTCCTGAACTCGACTGTTAAAAGTATCACCTTGTGAGGGTTTGTTTTTCATTTCCTGTGTCGATATTTTTGGTGTATCTGGCTGGCTGTTTCCATCTGGTCGATTGGCAATCAGGCAGCTAAAAACCACAGCACTGACTTTGAGAAGTCCAGTTGTCAAACCTTCAAAAAGTTGCTTATTTGTATTTCTTCCCAAAATAGCATTATTTTCATCTGGAACATAAACCTAGATGGAAAAAAAATACAGTAATTATATTTCAGGAAAACCACCAGACGTGGACAGAGATAATGTGGAACATTTCTGGAATCATAAATAATTTTGAAATTGTAGAAATGGCTAGCTAAATATTAGAGTGTTGGTTCTGAAGTTAGATTGCTGAGTTCAAGTCTCAGCTTTATCCTTGCTAGTTGAGCGACCTTGGGCATGTTGCTACTTCAAAGCTTCAATATATTCTCATTTATAAAAGAGGGACAACAACAGTGCCTATATCATAAGATTCTAGTGAGGATTAAATGAGTTAATCCACATAAAATGCTTAGCTCATGCCAAGGCATACAGTAAGTGCTCAAGAAATAGTATTTATTCAATTGAATACATTATATTAACAATTTATATGAGCCCAGAAAATGAACCAATTGGTAAACTGACAACATTGTTTTCTTGTTAAAGTGAATTCTAAAAATATCTAATCTGAATTCCTCTATTAAAATCAAATTCGTATTTCTTATTACAGAATGGTAAAACAGTTTTTGCCTAATACCTAGTGTCATATTCAGCTATTCTTGTATATAGTTTACAAGAAGTAACATGGTTAAAAGTTGGGACTAGGAGTCAGAACCTGGGCTTAGTTTCTGACTCTACAGTTACATGGTCTTAGACAAATTCCTTAACCTTTCTGTGTCTCTATTTCCTCAATTGTGAAATGAGGATAATCATAATCATAGCAGTAAATCAACACGTGTAAATTCTTAGGACAATGTCTGGCACATAGGTAAGCCCCACAGAAGTGTTATCTGTTACTACATTTCTACTCTTACTATGATTCCTACTATTACCATGAGTAAATACTACTGTATATGAATAACAGTTCTCACAGAGAAGGATGACTTAAGAAGTACAATGGCTAGGGGTGCCTGGGTAGCTCAGTTTGTTAAGTGTAAGCTCAGATCATGATCTCATGGTTCGTGAGATTGAGCCCCATGTTGGGCTCTGCACTAACAGTGTAGAGCCTGCTTGTGATTCTCTTTCTCTGCCTCTTCCCTGCTCTTTCTCTCTCTCAAAATAAATAAGTAAATAAACATTTAAAAAAGTACAATGGCTGGATATATAATTACCAGGCTGGGAGCTCTGTGCCCTTGGTCTGTAAGGGCTCACTCTTCCCAGGGAGAGGAGGGGTTGACTCCTAAAAGCCTTACTACCAAGAAAGGGGCAGAGACAATAAGCTAAGGGTGGGAAGAAGAGGTCTGGATGGAATCAGATGGTACTGTACTCAAGATCTACTTTTTCTTCTAGGAGATTACATGACTCAAAGTGACAATTTTACATTTCTGAGACTTGGTTTCTGTATCTGCCTACCTACTAGGACTACTATAAAGTTCAAATGAGATGATGAGTAGAAAAACACCTGGCAAATTATTACACTTCAAATGCACTTAGTATAATCAGCCTTTGCTTATCCTCACTCTTCACCTGCACCAGTCCTATCAAAAGAGGAATAAATACTCACTTGGATTAAAAAAAGAGAGGATCTTTATAAACACAAGCTAATGTCCCCTTCATTCCTTTCTGTTGTTGTTAATTTAGACATGCCATGAAAGTTACTTTTCTGAGAATAGCCTGTTTAAGACTGCTGACCATAAGTTCTATCCGACCATGGAGCCATTCCTAAACCCAAGTAATTACAGCAGAATCTTTCTGCAGTCTATGCTCCAATTAACTGATGAAAGCTCCCTTTGAAACTCTATAGTAGTTATAAAACAGTCACACAAACTTTCGATTGTGACTAGTGTAACCTAGCCTATCCCAATATAGCAGGTGGTATATGAGAATGGAATTTGAACCTAGGATTTCTATGTAAGTCAGGATGAGCTGGGTTATGCTGCAGTGAAACACTCCTCAAAAATTTCAGTGGCTTCAAACAATAAAGTTTTATTTTTCATTCAAATGACATGTTCGTCTCAGGCCGGCTGGGGCTCTGTTCTGCATCCTTGTCTTTACTCTGGAGTGACAAAGCAAGTACCATTTATAGCAACAACAACCAATAGAACTTTCTAAGATGATGCAAGTTTTTAAGTCTACACTGTTCTATATCTGCACTAGTCACATGTGGCTGTTGAGAACTAGAAATGTGGTTAGTGTGATACAGGGATTATATTTTTAAATTTAATTAATTTTAACCTTAATATTGGCTAGTGTATCAGACAGTACAGAGCACTAAAGGTCACAGTGGCAGAGAAGAGAAAAAATCTCTGTAAGGTCTTGAATCAACATTAAATGCATTACCTGAAAGTGATCTTCTCATTTTTGCTCACACCTTATTGGCTAGAATAATCATACCATCCAACCCAACCACAAGAGAACCAAGAAATGTCATCCAACTGTGTACTCGGAAAAAGGAAGAGAGGCAGGACATTTGGTTCGTGGTACTATTGACTGCATGATATTGTTTCTTCCATTATGCCTACACAAATATCGTTCATGGTTAAGTTCTTTAGCATATGATGATTACATTTACTTTCTTATACAAATTTTTGGTCTCAGGTAACTTTTTTCATATGCTGAATTTCCAATTTCTGTCATTAATTCATTGTCAATCTTTCTGGTTACAGTGAAATTTCCTCTCAAGTTCAGACACAGCAGAAATTGTTGATTCTTTTTCTCCCCCCACATTCCCCCTGAAACCTACAACACCCCTGCACTAATATGGACTGTCTGCTCTGTAGGCCTGTGACACAACTCTCCTCTTGGGATTGCCCTTCATCTTCATCTTAAGAATTCCTTTCACCCCTTCCTGGGTTAGATTCCCTTGTTTCTTGGATTCCATGTCTTTTTTTCTTCCCATTCTCTCATTTTGTTGAAGAATATATTCCAACAAGTTCCTAAGAAAGGCTGCATGGAAAGAAAAATTTTGAGACCAGTGAGTCTTTATAGATCTTTATTTCATCCTTATACTTGAATGATGGTTTGGCTGAATGGAGGATTCTCGGTTGCAACTACTTTTCCTTCAGAGTTGTGAAAGACTGCTCCGTTATTTCCTACTCCAAGGGCTGTCATTAAAAGGTCCAAACAAATTCTAATATTTTTGTACATGGTCTGTTTTGTCCTCTCTAGAAACTTTCAGGAACTTCTTATCCCTGATTTCCTGTGTCTTGGTATAGGTTCTCCTTCTCCTTCTTCCTTCGTGTGTGTGTGTGTGTGTGTGTGTGTGTACAAAAACTCAGTACTCTTTTCACTTATGGGGAAAACCATGTGTTTCACTTATGGGGAAATTTCTTGCATTATTTCCTTGCTAATTTCCTCCCACTCACTTTTCTCTGCTGGACTTTGGTCCTGAACTGAGCCTGTAATTTTCTTATATTTTGTTTTCTTCAGCTTTTCACCTCTTTACATTTTGTCCTACTCCTTAGGTGATTTCCTTAACTTTATTTTCCAGTCCTTCTACTGAGTTTTTCATTTCATCTATTGTATTTCTAATTTTCAGGAGCTATTTTTAGCTCCCTGTATGTTTTGTTTTTATAGTATTTTTTGTTTCATGGATATGTTTCTCATCTCTGTGAAGTTATGCTTTTTTAAGATTTTCTTCTGTTTCTTACATGGTCTCTGTTTCCTGTGAGTTCTTTCTCTTTAGGTTGTAAGCTTTCCATAAATAAGTGGTAATGTAGGACTTTCTGTTCATACTCAAGACTGATGCATAGATTAGTTTATCACAATCTTGATCCAATCACAAGGTGGACACACACTCTGTGTGAAGGGCTTCAAGTTAGATGACTAAACAGAGACCCAGCTTTTCCACTGGGAAATCCCAACTATTAGTAGTATAGGTATGTTCTCCCAGGAGAGTTAGTTTCAGAAGAATGAAATCCTATATCTTCTAAGCCTGGAGTATATAACATGGCCTATCCATTTTTGCAGAGATTCATAGAAGAAGGAGGCCGAGTGTCTCACTATTTAGGGAATAGATTTTCACTTAGTCATTTTGTTTTTGTAGGATTTTTTGTGTCTGTATATGGTGTCCCTGTACCTGGAGAAACTTTAGGTTTCAAACTTGTTTCTGCCACCATTGAGGGGAGTGTCATTTGGCGGTACACAGAGCACATGAAATCTAGGGTATCTAAACTGTCTCTTGTTTAGACTTTCAACAATTACCCTCTTTCCAGCCCCACTTGTATCCTCATTTTCTGAGATACTTGGTGACTCTAATTCTTGAACCTTCTGGGGTTCTGTGGCACAAATTTTCTTCTGGCATTTTTCTTCCATTAATTTAGGTTTTAGCTTTTAGACAACTGTCCTTTAAGTATATGCTTCCCAGATTAAAACATATTTGCTTTCCTTTTCTTTCTATTTTCTTTGTTTTTGAGGATTCAGGCCTATATCTATCCACTATTAGTGGGGCCCCCTGGCAGAGAAAATATAACTTGTGTTTTCAAGTTGGCCACATTTTAAAATTAACTCAATAAATCCACTAAAAGCACAACTTTCTTTTTCTTTTACACACTACAGAAAGAATAGGAGAAATACATTTCTGGGTAATGTCAGTTTCTTCATCATCACAAAATTTCATAATTTTTTCTTTTCAAAACCTTGTACTGATTTTCATCATTATTTCAAATAAAACACTATGCATGTGTATTTAGTAATCTTTCACTTAATTAGAAGTACTTCATCCATTTATTTCATCTTTGAAGAATATAGTTTGAGAATTAATAAAAAATAAAAAAAAACCTGAGGTACCAAAATTAATGACATTTATTTAATCACCTGCTTATCTAACATTTGAGTATCTACTACATACATGATCAAGGGATCAGAGTGATGCTCTGCTCACCTTATGGGTCATTCAGACCCTACAGACTCTGATTTTATAAACAAATGTAAGAGGCTGTGGTTTCATGGTTTACAGAGGAACAGAAAAAACAATATAAAAGAGGAAAGTGGTGACTATTTTAGAGGCAGGCAGTAGCAAAAGGTGACACTAATTCTGGAAGCACAAGAAAGGACAGATATGA